TCCAGATTTTGTACATGTTCTATACACGCTCATTTAGTGGACTTATGTACAAACTATAATATATCTCACAACTTTTTTTAAATATAAAAAATTCGAATTTCTCCAAAACAGTGTTTCTAAATAGTTAGTTTAATGCTTTACTGACCACGTAGAGTTAAAAAGTTTAAATATTTTACAAAAGAATATCTTTTTAAGTCAATTTTTTTACCAAAATGTTTTTCTATTACTAGTATTCTAGTAGAGTCACTTTGAGTCAGCTATGTTAAATATTTACAAACGATATGGACAAAATCTGCTGCCGTTTCCACGTTTAGATGTTTTCTTAGTTTTCTTCGTTTTCGAATCCTGGATGTCAAGCTTCGGAAGGTCCACTGGTGCAGGTTTGGAAATGGTGGTAACAACCTTCTTGATATTGGTGGAAAATTGCGTAGCCGGGGTCGTTCTTAAAACTCGAACTGACGTCTTGGGATCCATCATAAATTTCCTTGCAATGAGCGCCTGTTCTTCAAGAGCCAAACGCAGATTTTGCCTCAAGATGGGATCACCACGACAAACTGACATCCATTCTTTGTAAGACTGAGCTCCGGCTAGGAGCGATTTGGTGTCCAATAACCTGTAACAGAAACGAACATTAAAATAAATTCGAATATAAAAATAAAATTATAGTTACCTTAATATTGTGGACCACATTTCCACAGGCAGGAATGGCAGGAGAATGGTTTCAACAACTGGTAGCAACTGGAACATCTTGCTTCAGTGTCACAGGATGATATGGGAAGGTACCATTCGTTGCAGCTGTTATATACAACCTGTGTGCATAGGGCGTAAATTAACGCACCAGTGGTCGCTGACAAGTGGAACAGTAATGGTTCAATGCACATCCAAGTGTTAGCTACATTATTGTGTTCACTAGTGCGTTACAGTTTCTTTATAGTGCCGATGCTTACGTTCCTCTAAATTATGAATTCATGTGCACGTATGGTAGGGTGGAAGAATGTTGGCTTGGGTCAGTGTGAGAGATTGACACCGGTTGGCATTTGACCACCCCCTAATTAATGAGGTTATCCAGCTTTCCCTCATTATAAGTCGTTCCTGGGCGCAAATGCGGCCTTCTTCTTTCTTTCTCCTTTCAGGCTTTGCGACCAAGTTTTTTGTATTCAGGAGGTCAAAATACTTAAGAATAAGTTGTTTGCAGCCGTGGCACTCTGATTGGCCACGGAACCATATCTGTCTCCTAGACTATTGTTGGAATGAGACTAATAATCATCACTTTTAGGATGACTTACTTTTGGTATCGGTTTAACATTAAAGTAAAAAGTACATGCGGTTATTATCGTATTTGTTTTATCCAATTTATTTAAATAGAGGGATTCAACGACATTCCTGCCTTAGAAAACGTGACGAGTTGAATTTATGAAACTAACCTTATTGTGAGCTTCGTGAAATATGTTTACGGTGCTCTAGTAATTTAAAGGATCAATGATATCGCATTCGGCCTTCAAACGAGCCGTTAAGTTTTGACATTCGATACAAAGATGAATAATATCCCGGTTCAGCTCAGGCTATAAAATCGGAGGTACTTCGAAGGCGGGGGAATCCCCCACAGGGAAATTTAAAGGGAACAGCGTCGCCCCGAGACGCGATTATAAGAAATGTCACATTTTAATTGCGCGATGGAAAACGCCGCGTCCGTTTCATAATCAACAAGTTTCAGAAGCAACATTCATACCGCTACTTTGCGGCCTTTCAGGCCGACCCCTTCGCTTTGTGAGGGCGAAACGTCCCTCGTTTAGTTTAATTACAACTAGCTCAAGATGGAATTCTGCCATCGGCCAGTAGTTGTACGTCTCATACTTTAAAGGATTAGAGAAGGCTGTCCTCAGGTATAAATTCTAGGGTAGGTACAGCTGCCGACAAAAAAAAGCTTCCCCCCTAAAACGCTTATGTGCCCTTATGTGTTTCCACGAGACCGATTTACATTTAAAATACCTTACCTTCTGTTTTCGTCGCTGATTACGAACCGATAAAAATTTGTACACTCCAGTTGAAAGAGTTGTCAGTGGAATTTTTTCTCCTGGGATCGGTATAAAATTAATTTTTTAAAATAAGCAAGTTGATGGCGATTTCCGGTATAACAGGAAGTGGTACGTGGACGCCATTATTTTAGTTGAGAAGAGCATGCCCGAAAACCCGGTATCCCAAATTTTCAAAATTCAAATCGAAGTAGTCTCTGAAATAATTCTAATGGGCCGTCACAGTGAGATTGTTTCAACGACTTTTTTAAATTTCAACTGAAAAAAAAAATATGAATTTTGTTCCATCGTTTTGGGACACATGCATTTCAGTTTTGATTTAAATGCTGTAATATATTAGCGTACTTAAAACTTATATTTACTTCGTTAACGATTTATGTACTTAAATATCTATATTTACATTAACTGAATCTAATTGGTTTTTAATACTTTTCCGATAAATTTAATCGTATTCGAGAGAAATTAAAATGCATTTATTTAAACCTGTTAAAATTCATGAATATCATTTCTTGATGATGGAATATACCAATACTTATAATAATTCTTCATTGTCTTGTTTAATAGTCACTAGTGCGTAAAATAAATACATTACGCACTAGTGCGTAAAATAAATACATTACGCACTAGTGCGTAAAATAAATACATTACGCACTAGTGCGTAAAATGAATACATTACGCACTAGTGTTTAAAATACATTGTGTGTAATTTAATTTATAAGATACATTTTCCGTAGTAAAAAAAATCCGTGTGTTCCTTTTTTCTCAAGGATGGAAGGTAAGTCTTCATCTAAGAATGAAAATAGAGAGATAAGTAGAACAAAACACTTTTCACCTTATAGGAAATCTTAGCGGAAAAAGCCGTAAATTATTTCGTACTCGCCGGTATCTAAAATGCTGCTGTACTCTAATTCTATTACTACGTCCTTATCTGATATGGCAGAAGGCCGCGTAGCCAGAAATTCGTCGTTTTGCGATTTTATCTGTTTAACCACAGCTTGAAAGGTGAAATTTTCTCCTTAGTTGAAGCAAATAAAACGGAAAATGTAACTAACTTTCTTGCACTTATTTTTGAAATAAAACGACTGGGTTGTACATTTATCGAACTTTCTTCATGCCATTTGCGGAAATTTTCCCACCGTTATTTTTATACAGGGCCTAACATTAAATATGGAATAGAAACACATATCACAAGTTTATTTCCTCAAATTTTGTATTTCTAATGCAGCACTTTTCGCATAAGTATGTAAGATATTTACTTTACGCATTATTGCGTAAAATATTTACTGTATACACTAGTGTGATAAATATTCACATTACACACTAGTGTACATTGAATATTTACTTTACGCTTTAGTGTGTTGAATATTTACTTTACGCATAATTGTGTAAAATATTTACGTTTCCTGTAAAATTCAGTTATAAAGCAGTTCTAAATTACACGGAAGCTATTTTAATTAAAATAAAAAATTTGAGCTTTTTATTGATCTTTAGTTTGCGAAAGTAAAAAGCTATGTCGAGATATTATTTAAATTATTTTATTACCGATAAACATGTTATTAATTAAATTGTAAATAAATTACTGTATGCATTAATGCGTAAAGTATTTCATTTTACGCATGTTTACGCATTAATGTCTAAAATAAAAGTTGATAATACTCGGCAATTAAATTATTTTAAAATAAATTACTGTACCTATCAGATTTTGTTAAATATTGCCAAACAATGAAGCCAAACACATATTTATTAACGTTACAACACTTTTCTCACTAGTATCTAAGATATTTACTTTAGTTATAAATATTAAATATATAGCAATTGTTACATATTTACTTTACGCATTATCAGTGAAATATTTACTTTGCGCACTGGTGTGTAAAGTATTTACATTACGCGTTAGTGTGTAGAATAATTTACGCTCTAGTGTGTGAAATGTTTATTTCACACTATAATTTGTAAAGTACTTTACGCAGTAGCGTATAAAATATTTACTTTACGCTTACAAAAACCTATAGAATTCAATTGTAGAGTAGTTTGAAATTGCTCAAATGTCGCTCAAATCGAGAAAATAGCAAGGATTCTATTTTAGGCAATAGTAAAAACAAAAGGCTGTTCAATTTAGAACGTACTTACCAGGATTCGTTGGGAGTAACGAAAAATGACACCCCGTTTGGTACATTCTGCGAGCTTTAGAATTTTTCGTGTTTCATAAGCGTTTTGTGCAGACATTTTCACAGGCAGCTTGATTCGCGATTGAATTTGCACGATACATTTAACAGACCGCCATTGTGTCAAATATTCTAAAACTCGGTAAACTACAATAAGCTGGTGGAATATTCAGGGATACTTTTTCATAAAATTAACGTCTCTGTCAGCAAGCTGGATAAAAGGCACTCCTCATCGGTTCCGGCCAGGTTTATATTGTTGGGGAGAATATAACATCTGTTATTTGAACTGGTGGTGTACCCACAGATGTTGGACGGTAGCATGTATCAGGCAACTAATCTGCATTACATGAGGCGATCATATTGGGCTCTGTCCAATATATCCTCCGCGGCTTACTGAAAATATAAGATTATTTCAATGCCCGGACGTCTGCTTTGCCCTGTGTGCTGAAAGCGTAACTTTTTGCTTTTTGAAACAGAAAAAAAATTGCAATAATAAGCACAGTAACATCTAATGTCGCTGTAGTTGAAAATGTTTTATTAATTGTGATTGAAAATCAAAACTTATTTCTATAATGCGTAAAGTACTTTACGCTATACACTATGTAACTATGTAAATCCTATTGTTTGCGTATTAACGCCTACGAAATAAGATGGTAAGGTGACTACTGAATACTATTGTATACCGTTTGGATTACAGAAGCTTCCAGTACAGCGATAGGCCGTGAAATCCATTGCTAAAGATCAATTTAAAATAACGACGTCGTGAGGTAACGCAGTGCATCTAACAAATTGGTATTTCTAGGTGGCATGGATACACATAGATCGGCAAATGATTTTGACAATCCACCGTCACGTCATATCCAGAGTTCCGCGCTTCAGCGTCTCACACGACAACGCCAAGACGTGGCTGCTCCACGTCAGTAGCGTACAAAAAGAGGATAGGGGCTACTACATGTGTCAAGTCAACACGAACCCCATGATCAGCCAAGTCGGGTATCTCCAAGTGGTTGGTAAGTAAGTTGTTTTACCTTTCTGTTGTTAAGGTAGAATAGATGAATGTAGCGAACGTAGCTACTATAGCGTTGTGCATGGCGTTAGCATTTGTTAAATAAATAAATAAATCTTATCAAATGTGTCTGATAAAACCTTTACAATAATTTATTGATCGGTAGTTGTAAAAAATCCCCTAAAACACCTTTAAAATGTGGTAAATTTTATCAATATAGTTTGGTGGATTTCAAATTGAATTTTGGGTAAGCTTTAAACTATTCTACCATCGAGGAATCTAAATACGACTGCTTTACCGGAATATCGATATGACAATGTTATATATTTAACTGTTAGAGATAGAAACCGTCGTGGGATGGCTACAAATAAAAAATTATATGACACTGTAAAAGTTTTATGTATCTTAACGACTGAATGCCCCGCTAAGGACAACATTTCGGCGATATCAAAAACGAAATACGTTTCGAAACGGTGTAAAACGCGATGGATCCAAGAATCTGTTACGAAAATGTCTTTGCACCAGCGGTTTTATGAAGGCGGTTGCTGTTCTCTTAGTTTTATTAAACGTAATACGCGTTTGCAATTTGTCTATTTTGATTTACTGGCAAAATTCCAAACGCTGACATAGTCGCTAGATCAATATTTTTAAAATTGTTACATTTTCGGCTGGAAGGAAGGGGGTGTATTTAATTAATATCCAATTTTTAATTTCCGACAGTATAAATAACTGGTAGATTAAGAAAATTGATATTACATTAATCGCATACCAAATTCTACTACATTACATGATAACTAAAATTACCAATTTCTGGCTGTAATAACATCGTCAAGTCGACTTAGCGTACATATTTGTTTAATTCATTGTCGGACCACATTTAGTAATAATATTGATGTTACAGGTAGTACTTCAGACTAGCCCAGTTAGCCTTCTTGATGAAACAAATTACAGAATAGCAGTAAAATGAATCCCGTTATAAAATATTTAATATCTCACAACACGTTTATTAGAAAACTATTAACGTATCTTGAAGATGAATTAAAAAGACCTTTAATCATATAAAGTCAGTATTGTTCCCGGACAAATTGAAAAATAATACACTAGTTATACACTATTGTGTAAAGTATGTACTAATGTACTTTACGCACTAGTGCATGTAACATAAAGTATATATTAATATATACATATTTGCATGTATCTGGAGCCAGTCATTAAAACTGGCTATATTGTTTACAAGATCCAAATTTAAATCTTACATACAGTCTTTAACAATACCATTTTAATAAATTTTTGAGTGATTTTTGCTGAGAAATTAAAATGTAGCCGATATAAATATTTTTCACACTAGTGTATCATCATTGTACTTTACGCATTAGTTAACAAGTCAAATTGAACTACTGTAGTAAAAAAAGTGTATTTTTGTGGGTAAGCGCTCTTAATGCAACTTGCCATAAATAAATGCGTTTATGCATATTTAATATTAGTTATGTGAAGCAGTGAATCATTAAAATTGTAAAATATAGGCGCCCTAGTGCGTAAATTATGTTGGTACTTTACGCAGTAATATGTGAAATATATAGGTATTTTACACGTTAGTTTGTAAAATATTATGTACTTTGACTGCCATTGCCATATTTAGGTACTTTAAGCAGTAAAGTGTAAAATGTTTATGTACTTTACGCACTAATGCCAAAAGTAAGATTATACTTACGTAAAGTTAGTATTTTACACACGGTACTAATGTTTCGTTGTCTGTCACAGAAAATATTTCTATAAGACGGAAAAAATAAAATAGTATGTAAAATATTTAGGTACTTTACGCTCTAGCACGACAAGTAGTAAAAAAAATGTATTTTGATTGGGGAAGCACTCTTAATGCAACTTGTCATAAATAAATGCATATATGCATATTTAATATTAGTTATGTGGAGTGAATCATTAAAATTGTAAAATATCTCCCTAGTGTGTAAATTATGTTGGTACTTTACGCACCAGTATGTGAAATGTATACGTATTTTACACGCTAGTTTGTAAAATATTTAGGTACTTCGCATGCCATTGGGTAAAATATTTATGTACTTTACGCACTAAATTGTAAAATGTTTATGTACATTACGCACTAATGCATAAAGTAAGATTTTACTTACATAAAGTTAGTATTTTACATACGCTACTTACTATATTTCGTTGTTTTTCACAAAAAATATTTCGAGAAAGTGGAAGAAGAAATATTTAGGTACTTTACGCTGTAGTGCAGAAAGTTAAATTTTACGTACGCAAAATTGGTATTCTACGCACGACAGTAAAAAAATGTATTTTATTGTGTTTCAAAATGTAGGATATGTATCTCCTTAATTTGAGTAATTGGCGAAGCACATCTAACACAAATTGCCCCAAATAAATTCGTATATCGTAAAATTTGTGGTACCTGATATAACTTTGCATGTATATCTGGAGCCGAAAACCATTAAAATTGTCCGTGTTTATATTTATTCAATAGATATTAACTCACACGTTCCTCTTTACGCTTATTTGGTGTAATCTATACTCTCCGAAAATATATAGTCAGAAGAAAATTTTAGCCGTTAGAGCAGGGGCCTTAAAATATGTATAGCAGCGCGATCGATTGTAATCTGTACCAGAAACTCGTAAATAATAACGCGATACTCCGAATGACCGATACAATTTAGAAAGCTATAAATAGAGGCACTATTTTCGCCATTCCGATGCTGCAAAATAGTAAAACAGTACGGTAGTTAGTAACACTTCTAAAAGCGCGAAATACAATCTTTTGCTTTTGACACTGCGAAATGATTTATCGCAAAGGCGGGATTTTGTTTGTTGAAACTGCCAAAAAATTCGGTACGGATTTAGTATTTATGCGTTTGGCCGTCGCTGGAAAGTGTATCCCAAATTTCATGCTCACTGGAAACAAAAAATATATTTCATAAAAGGTACGTGTATTCAAACTATCTACTTTTTGTACTATCGCGCGTAAGTAATTTACGTATACACTAGATCCGAGATAGTACACAGTAAATTCATAAATAAATCAAGTCAATTTTTACTACTTCTACAATAGATCTTAATGCTATCTACAAAGAGGTGTGCAAAATAACTCCAGAAAAGTACAGAGTTTAGTTACGGGGGAGTGACGTATATTTTTAAGGGTTTGCCCTTTGGGTTTTCCACAACTTATCGGACCACTTAATATGCATCTTAAAACTATTTTCAGTAAATTCTGACAAACCGGATAACCGTTAATCTAAACAAATCTCACTATGCAGGAATCACTGTCTTTTTGGAACATATATATATACCTTCATACATGTTTACAAGCCATGTAGCTGCCGAGCTTATGCAACCCAACATGGCACGAATGGTACTGTCAACTAAAAATCTCTAAATTTTAGTGTCATTAATGACAAACGTATTTTTAATATCTGCTTCTATATTTAATAATTTTTGGAACCCTCTGAAATGGTACGCTTATGGGATGGCATTCCTCTTACGCCTTACTCGTCGTGCGGTGTACATGTTGAGACTTCCGCACTAGTGTGATTTATTTTTAATGAGAGATGTGTACCTCGATGTGGCCACCGTGTGGAGAGAAGTTAATTTTGAAGTTCCATAATACAAATTTGAATAAATCAAACGAAATACTTAAATAAGTTTCTGGTCCCCCACCTAACCGAGTATAAATTTAACACAAAGGGCCTAATTTACTGCCTACAATTTCCTGCGGGGTATTAAATAAGCAAATAGTCATTGAACCGCGTCGAGGTATAGGCACTCCTATTAATATTAAACCATCAAATTATCTTAATGTGAATGTAACGTAAAAAGCTATCTGTAATAAGATCGACTAATTGACAGTAGATAGAAGTTAATGCCGCGCGTTCATTAAAGTGAAGAACGCTTTTCAAGTTGAAAAAGAAAAATCGCGAGCGATGAATCAAACGGGGAAGTAGGTCAACGAGTCGATACGAAACATATAGATCTAATTTTATTAATCGGCGAACTTGGAATATGTTTACACACACAATATAGAAACATTTCTAGCGTCGTTTTTTGTCCTGCGCATTATATTCAGTTATTGAATAACAATGCAATCAATCAGTATTTAATTATTTAATACGAGACGTTTTTCAAGTTGGTTTATGACATGAAATCTCGAAAATAACGACGTCTTAAAAAAAGGTGGTGGTGATTTACATTCTAAACAATAATGCACTACAAAGTTTCATAATAATATACGGGGATTGTCACCAAAATGCCGTCATAGCGTCGCAGTTGTATGCTGAGCTATTCTTTTGTGATTTCATCCTGCATATTGAAAGAGTAGTTTTGTGGGGTCCGTTATGTCAAAATGAGGTAAATACACGCATTTGTGTTGAGTAAAATGTAATTTTAAAATCTGACTTACCTCAATATTGCAAGGAGCCACCTTTTGAGAACTGCTGATTTTCATAGAATATATTTCAGTTAACTCAGATTTTGCTCCTTTTTCACACCTTTAAATTTTTGACAGAAGTTCATTAACACCCTGTATTTACACAACCTGCAGTACCTAATTAGCCAACTGTCCGCAGGCGTATCATCGGGGTTATTTTTACAAATGTACGGTAACTAAAAACTACTGGTAAATTTATTGATAATGACAATCAATAGTTTACTAAGTTAGAATAATCTTTAATTTATAATTGTTCACATGCTATACAGGGATGGCCAGAAGTACGGAATAAAATTCATATCTTTTGAATGAGTAAATTTTTTTTAAAACGCTGAAACACGTTAACTGATTTTGATTTTTTCCCATCTTTCGGTTATATAATAATTAATTTTTCTTCAACCCCCTAACCCCCAGCTACCCCTACTTTTTTTTTCAAATGGAAACATAAGGCATTAGGGGGCTCGTTGAAAAGTTTATAGAAAACCGAATCCAGCCATACCAAATAAACAAGTTTTATTATTTTTTTTATGACGTTGTAGTAGTCCACGTGA